AATCGGGATTTATCGAAACAATGGATATGTGCTCTTGTTTACTTTGATAGAGTATTAATTGATACGATTTTGTGGAAACATTTCCCACGTAGAGCGAGGCCAAGTTTTCCTATCGATGTATAATTTCCGTCCTGTCTATTCATAATAAATATTGATGAATTATTTAGAAATATTAACGTTTCACTTGCAGTTTTTCAAAAATTAGGTAAAATAAATAAAAATAAATAATAATATTAATAAATTATAATAATTATAAATAAAATTTCTATCGTACAGTAAAAAATTATTATATACTTACAATTTATAAGCGTGTACAGCTTTTGCAATAACAACTTCGGTTTTCGATTCTTGAGTAACATTTTTTTGTTTTGTTGGAAAAATTTGCGGCTGAGTATTTACATTATTTGTGTTCATACCAAATATTGAAGCCAATCTGGAACTAAGTACAATAATTTTTACGTTTTGCTTGTTTAAAAGGTTTAAAACGGTTAAAAACGTTTGTAAACTTTAAAAAATAATCTTATAGGTTATGTCAATTCAAATTTGTTTATTATCTTTCAAATAATAAAGCAAAAATCTAATTAAAAGTATTTAAATACAATAGGTACGTTAAATGATTTATTAAAATTATTAATAAAAATTACCTTCCGGAAGGTAAAAATCCATCATCATCTTCTTCGCGAAATATTTTATCAAGATCCGGTAATTGATTTTTGCCACTCATATTTATAAAATTGTTATAAAATATTTATATGTATACGATTTACACAAATTTACAGTGGAAATTAAATGTGAGACGAAAACGAAATAAAGTAAATTGTGTTTATCTCGTTTGACAGCTAACCTAAAAACTAAAACTTAACTCATTCTCTTTGTGTATATAAACAGTTTTCTTATTTACCGACAAGAGAAATTTTCTGCAATCATAATTTTTTTTAGGTTTTTTTATTTAAAAAGAATTAAGAAGAAATAAAAAGAAAATTGTGAAATTTTAACAGAAGCATAAAAGAGGTAAATTTTAACAACACAAAGAATTTAAATATTCGTTTTCTATATATTTTTTGCAGAATATTTATATACATATTTCACCAAAAATTAGTGATTATTAACAAATTTTCATTCTGCTTATTTAATTATTTTATCTGTAAATTAAGAATTATTTATTTAGCTGGATCAAATGTATAATGCTTGACACCGGCTTGTGGCCATTGTTTCTCCATCTGAAATCAACCGGTCCATGAATTGAAATTTTGTTGCAGTGGTGATCAACTTACAACGCCATCCGGTTTTGGAATACTCGAAATAACTGGAATAACTCGTCTGGTTTATCCGCGATTACTTCTCTTTTTAATATCTGCAAAAAAAATAAAGGAAAATGATAAAAACCAAACAAAAATTTTTGTTACGCTCCGAAGAAATTGATCGATCCAAGAAGCAAGAAATTTGTGATTAAGTTTTTCATTTTTTGAGTAAAAATATACAGAAAGTGAATTTATTGATTATTATAGATAGATAAAAATAATAGAAATTAATTATTATTATTATTATAAAGTCAAAAAAGAAATTAAAAATTTTGTTATATTAACTCACAGGAGGTTCCTTTTCTTCTTCCTTCTTCTTCTTCTCTTCTTCTTCCTTTAATTTTCTCTTTAAAACTTCGTCTAGTCTCTTTCTATTTGCATCTTCTTCGTTTTTCTTCTTCTTCTTCTCTTCTTCTTTATTCTTCAACTTTCTTTTAATAAGATTCATTATACGTTGTTGGCGATGATGCAACGCAATCAAATTTTTCAATGGGTGGTCGGTTATCAGACGGAGGTTTACTTTCGGACATGTATTGTAAGTATTGGAGATTTAAATAAATCAAACTTGTATTGTAAGTATTGGAGATTTAAATAAATCAAAGTTTTTCTCGTTTTTCTCGGAGCAAATTGACCTTTAAAATTTCGTCTATACAATTTTCAAATGGGATTATCGCCGTATGTTGTTTTATAGGCTAAAAAGAAAAATACGTTTTTGAACAAAAGTGAACAAAAGTCTAGAAAAAAGGGATAAATATTTCAATTTCTTTAAAATTAAGCCAACGAAAAAGTGTGAAAAGATTTACCTTCGCTTTCAATGTATTTTATACTCGTTTCCACTGGTATTTCTACAGTTCTATCAAGATTAATAAAACCTCAACTTTTTTCTTGTTTCTTAAGTTTGTCTTCGTTAATCAATTGTTCCTGACTGGAAATCTCAGATTTTTCTTGAACCTATTCGGCAGTTTGTAAAAGAACCGGAGCACGAGATAAATTTCTCAGAGACATAACCTAGAAATCAACATAGAATTTCCGAACTTTTAATTATAAATACAATATTTAATGAATAAATGCAATATTGAGTTTTTCTAAATACTCACAGGTTGAATACATCCATTTCGATATAATTTACTTACAAGTTGAATATTTCTCATGAAAAATGAAATTTTTTCTGAATTCTCTGCAAGAAATCCACTTAACAACTGTGAAGTTCGTTGCAGGAGCAGATGTATATCGCGACAAACTGAAATTGTCCGCAGATTGAATTGTCCGCTAACTTTTGAAATTTGTAATTACGCCAACAATGTAAAAATTGTGTGATAGGAAGATATTTGTAGAATTTATCTTCAATATTACTATTTTCAAATAAATAATGCAACAGATTATCGTAAACAAAACAAAACTGCTTCGGTGCACAGACTCTCTCATTCTGGACTCAGCTTCAAATGTTGAACGGCGACCACCGTGGCGCTGGCTGTACTTTCAGGCCGACTTTTTTCAAAATGTGGCGGGAAATTCAAATAAAATAATAATAATATTATTATATATTAATTGTTGCTTATTAATTAAGTAATATTTAATAGTATTGATAATTCATTTTATTAAACAATTAATAAAAATTAATAAATAATATAATTATTATTATTTTATTTAAATTTCCCGCCATGAGTTAGATGACAATTTTCATCATAAATAAAATACTTCTCTCTTTTCTGAAGTTAATTATATTACAAAATATGTCTAAAAGTTACTGGATCAATATAATATACAAAAAAATATGATGAAGTTCAATCTAATGCATGAAAATTAAATATTTTCGTACTTTCCCATGCATTTTGAGAAAAGTCGGCCTGAAAGTACAGCCAGCGCCAGTGCTAGTGCCAAACCCATTTAAAATGTATTGGGGATTGGCACTGGCACTGGCACTTGCACATACATTGGCACCTATTGTAGACTCTCCTTAATAAATTTGACACATACCATAAGGAAACGAGCGACACCAGTTCGGAAAATGATAAATATTGTCTTGGAATTTTATTTTGAGGTTAATTTTAATGTTTAATTATTGTTTATGTTAATAAATAGGTATATTTTTTTTCTCTTGTTTTTAACTCTATATGTAGGCTTCTCATGGAAACATTGTTTTATTGAAAATTTTTTTTTTAATTTAAAATTAACCTTAGAAGAATAGAAAATGTTGACAAAGAAATTACAGTTCCTCTACGGGTGACTTGTCTAAACTGATAATCTTTGATTCGCTGCTTTTTTGACAAGATGGTTACCAAAATATTATTTTGAATAATTTAGCCCATTTGCTGAAAAACAATTTCTTGGATAAACTCATTTTATTAAGTAAACGTTTGTGTAAAGCCACATTATATCGAATGAAATTTATATGGATTTAACGTTTGACATAATTTGTAATTTTGATCAAATTACATTTTGGACTTTTTAAAAACGGGGATATACAGGCGCCCCAATCAAATCGCTCTCGACTGTGTATTAAACGTTTTAAAAATGCGCGGTTCATTTCGCTAATAAGATTGTGACGTAAAGGTACACTCTCACCTCTACTGCCTGCCTGCCTGCGCAGGCAGGCGCCATAAGAGTGAGAGAGAAAAAACATTTAATTTGAATTTTCTGACTCTCTTACTCTTATGTGTTACCATGTCAACCTGCAGGCAGGCAGGCAGGCAGTAGGAGCTGTGCTAGCTCGTCGAATTTAACAATGTAAATAACGCCACTTTCATATTCTAACAACAGAAATACGAAAACTTTGCTGAGAACTCTACCCTAATGGTAAAACGCGGGAAGATTCAAAATCAAATATAAATAATTAATCATATTTTGCAAAATTACAATTATAAATTATAATTTATTATATTCTTTATTTTCACTATTTATATTATTTAAATTTCATTATTTAAACTAAACTCCAATTATAAATGAAATTATATCTCAAACATAATATTATATTATTTCAAAGAACTCTTGAAGCCTCTTTCTATTAAACAACTCTAAAATTTGGAAGTAAACATAAACTTGAGATATACAAAGGATTCATTTTAAGTCGCCTGACCAAAGATTCTAAAAATAGAACGCAACAGAAAATTCAGTTTCTATCTTTTCTTAGTAAATCTTTTGAGAATGGACTAGAAAATGCGCACGTTGTTTTATCCCCACTTTCTCTTAGAAGGGCCTTAGAGGGGGAGTTCAGCAAAGGTTTCAAGTGGCTTTTGAAGGCCAAGGCAGATCAATTCTTTCTCTTCTTCTAATCAGACGTATTTTTTGTGAAAGAAATTATAAGTTCAATATTGTTAAAATTAAAGGACTTAATAAAGACTGTTAATTTATAATTAAACAATTTACCTTCTTTTAAATAAAAACTGAGTGAAATATATTTTATTATTTGAATTCAACCGCCAAACTTCCTACCTGCCAGGTGACTACTTCAGTAGTCAAAGCAAGAACAAGTTCGCCCTCTCTTAAAATTAAATTGTACCTAACCTGGGACGTGACAAGATCATTTTTGTAGCGCAAGCGCAGTTGCGTTTGGTGAGGGTACCTGGCAGCACTGACAATACGTGTGAGTCATTAAAGGTGGGGGTAAACTCAGGGTTGGGTAGTGTATAAACGACTTTTTTGAAAATTAGTTACTTCTAGGGAATTTGGTAAGAAAATAACTGACACGGTGTGAACCGGGCTTTATGTCCCGATAATATTTTGTGTTGGCAGACCTGACAAGCAGAACGCGATTCATTACATTACACAGTTGAGTGAGTGCTGAGTGACATTTCATTTTTTGTTTTTCTCACAGAAAGAAATAAATTAACTGCAAAAATGGTGAGTAAATATTAATTTCGATTAATTGGTCACGTTTTATTAGATTGTAAATTAATAACCATTTAGTTTGACAATAATTTGAGTCATAAGTTCAAAGTAATTTGAGTTTAAAGCATGTATTGTTTTTTGAGGTTATGTTCTCATGAGTAAACAATTTTTGATTATTTGTAATTTGTAATTCTAATTGTAAATTGTGTTTTCATAATTCTCGTATCGTTGTCTTTATTTTACTTTTCTTGGTAAATAAAATAAATACTATGAAATTGGAAAATTGAGAATTATTCACACGTTTGTTTTTCGTAAAGTAAAAAGTTGGTTCATTTTGAAGTCTCACATTTTTTGTCTATAAAAGAAAAGAGAGAATAAAGTTAAAAAAAAACAATTATTATTTTAGAGTTTCGGTTATTCGAGCATAAAGGCAACGCCTGAGTGTAATGATAAATTGGGCAGTGGCGATAATTATGGAATCCAGAGTCCCATGGTTGCAGGGTAAGAAATTTTCCGTATATTTCTCTCGGATTTTTGAAATTTTTTAATACTTTTTTCTCTTTTAGTTTGGGGGCAACTAGAAAAACATTTGGATTCAATCATCCTCTGGAAGCAACAGAAAAAGTGGTAAGCAAAATTTAATTTAAATAAAAAATGTAGGTAATTTTATTAATTTTTGAAAATAATTTTCTTGTAATCAAATAATAGTGTTAATAACAATAACAAAAATTTCTAGAAAGAGTTTAATTATTTTCATTCTAGAAATTTTATTAAAATAATTGAATTCTTATAATTTTATCAAAAATGTTGAAAATAAATAAATTTTCTTTACTACTTAGAAAAAAAGAAAAATTATTTTGGTTAAATGGAATCAATTTTTTTCTTTTTATTTTAGAAATAAAATTAAAAAAGATTGCTTTTTTTGCAGTACAATAAAAATAAAGAACGAATGGAAATGACAATGCTTCGAAATGCTCAAGGTTTACATGCACCAATGCGATTGGCAATGGAAATTAGATCCTCAGAAAAAATTGGTAGACTTCCATTTTTACAATCGTCAATGGCATTGAGAGATTCACTCCTAGGAAGAGACATCGAAATTGGGTATTTTTACTATTAATTTTTATTTATTTTATACATATTTTTATTTTCTGACAAATTTTTATTCTATTTTCCGACGAAGTAAATTAAATAAGTTATTAAAATTAAACTAGTAATTAAAAATTTTTGTTCCTAATTTTTAATTCTTCTTCTATGAAAGATTTTACTTTTATTGACTTAATTTTTTTAATCAAAAAATATTCAAATCAATATCAAAAAATTTATCTTTTTTTTTAAAATTTATTTTATTTTACTTTAATTTCTTTATTATTATTATTATTATTATTATTATTATTATTATTATTATTATTATTATTATTTAAAAATTTAAAAATTTATTAAAATTTGAAATTTCTAAATTTTGGTTTAAATTTTTTTTTCAGCTTTGAAGACATTCTGAACTCCTCGGAATTCAGAGAACAAATGGGACAACCACATGCAATGGTAGAAAAAAGTCTTGGAATTTTGTAAGACAAATTCTTTTATTTGTTTTCTTTTTTCTCCCACTCTCCTACTATCATTGTTTTTTTTATAATTAAAGGTAAGATTAAAAATTCTTAGTCGTTAAAAAATAATTCATGTCAATAAATAAATTAAACTTTCAATGACAATTGATTGCTTTTGAATTCCTTGATTCAACATTTCAAGAAAAAGACAGTAGAAGAAAATCGTAATCTGCGTAAATTAATTTTTTATTCTTTTTTCTATTGCTAATGAATTTCGTTATTAATTGTCAATTTAATTTATTTATTTATCATTATTAAAAGTTGATATTATTCTTTTTATAATTAACTATTCCATACAGTCAATTATTCTTATTATTAATAATTGTTTGTTCAATTATTTTTGTAATTAATAATTGTTTATTCAATTATTCTTATAAATAATAATTCGTTATTCAATTATTCTTATAATTTTATAATAATTCTTTATTCAGTTATTCTTATAATTTTATAATAATTCTTTATTCAGTTATTAAAATTAATAATTATTTACACAAATATTTGTTATTAGTGAAAACTACGAAGAAAGTGATTTAGTGTCCGGCCAAATGAGATCACTGATTCGTATTCTAGAAATTTTTTTCACTTCTTCAATTCCCAAATTAATTTCAACGTCTCGGGAATTTTTCAAACGATTCTCGATTGCCGCGATAATTGTTTGCATTTTAGTTTTCCGAACGCAAATCACAAATGGAAACTGAAACTTTTCCTTATACCTGAAAAATATAATTTTATTTAAAAAAAATAATTAATAATCACAATTTCTCTAGAAAATTCTGTTCTTTTTTTATTTGAAAAAAGGGAATTTTGTATAATTTCTATTTCTGTCACAATGTTTCAACAAAACATTTTTAATTGCCAAAAAATACTCACATGAAATTAAGTTGACTTAAAGTGAATTTTTCCTCTTTCGTTAAATTATCAAGTCCCGCACTTTTTTGCTCGTTTTTTGATTCACCAGTGAGTTTTCCTTCGTCCAAAAGTTTCCCCGCCAGTTCCGGATGTTTTAATAAAATTACTTCTTTCTCTGTAAAAAAAAACGAAAAAAAACTTTTTATTCCCTTTTTTTAATTTTACGAAAGAAAATAATTTTTTTCTTTATTTATCGTTGAGAACAAAGAGCGCAAAATTTATTGAAATTATATTAATATTTTATTCTAAACTATCAATATTAATATTTTAACATTTTGATGTTTGAATAAATTTTGCAATTTATTCTTCACAGAGATAAAGAAAAAAAAATTATTTTCTTTCATAAAATTAAAAAAAAGGAAATAAAAATCATTTTCTTTCATAAAATTAAAAAAAAAGCAAATAAAAATTATTTTCTTTTACAAAATTGAAAAAAGAGAATGAAAAATTTTCTGTTATTATTCATTTTTTAGAAACATTTTTATAATTATATAATTTTTTCCTTTACCGTGAATATCGAGTTTATCTAAATAATTGTCGAATGCACTCTTTAGTGTTTCACATGTTAAAAATGGTTTGTGGTTAAAAACATATTTCGCCGCATCCGGACAGTGTTCAATGACATTTCCAAAAATCCACTCAAATTGTTCATTCGGCAGGGCATTTACTTCCGTCACACTCAAAATTCCAGCACTGGCCATTTTATTTCGAAAAACTGTTATTTACAAACAAAATAAATTACACAATATTATTTTGAATTTTCAATTGAAAAATATTCTTTTCTCCACTGAAAAAGAAAATTTATTTTATTTTAACAACCGATTACTTATCAAATAAATATTTACTTGAATTGTATTTGAATCAATAATTTCAGTATTCGAAGCAAATACCATTTAATTGACTTAAATAAAAATTATTTGATAAATAAATATTATTTTTTAATAAATATTTATTTGATAAGAGAAAAATAATCTGTTACTTGAATCAAATAAATTTTCCTTTTCAGAGTCTATATAATTATTACAAACAAACAAAATTTTTTGTATTTAATATTTAAATAATTGTTATTTAATAATTTACGAATTATTTTTTTAAAATATTAAACAACATTAATATATATAATATTAATAACAATCAATTATTTACCGACATAAATTAATAATAAAGTAATAATAATAATAATGATAATAATAATAAAATAATAATAAATAAATAATATATTTATTAAAACAATAAAACTGGAAATTTGTTTGAAATTTCTATTTTTTTTTGTTAATATTATGTATATTGTCTCGTAAACGGTCTTTTATCGCACAGCTTGAAAAAGAAACTAAACTTATCTCCTTTTCTATTTAGTTATATATAAAACTGGATTTCACTCGTTAAATGAACGAAGCTCATTTATATTGTAAAGATATATATTTAAAAAACAGAATCTTATCGTTTCATTAGTGTGTGTCAACTTATATATATATTTTTTATACCAATACTTCTAAAAATTATATAATTCATAATTATCATTATAAATAAGAAATATATAAATGAGAATATTATGTAAATTTATTTTGCTGATCAAACTTGTGACACTTGTTTAAACTAACTGTTCAATTATTTACAAAGGTTTTTTCATCTTTTGTAAATAAAAAAAAATCGAACTTTTGTTTTAATTTACATTTTTCTTTGTTATCCACTTTTATTTATTTTTATTTGCATTCTCAAATTAATTGAATATTTTTAATTATTATTATTATTTTTATGGTACATATTATTATTATTATTATTATTATTTTATTTTTATTATTATTAATATTTATGACAATAATTTTTTTTTAAATAACTTAATTCCTGAAGAACTATCATGAAAATTAATTATTTATATATTTATAATATATATTTTATTAATTATTAAAAATAATGGAATTATAGAAGAATTTTATTTAAAAACACAATAAAAAAAATTGAATTTTGAAGAAGTTAGAAATTATTGCTGAAATTCAATTATTTTCAAAAAGTAATAAAATTCTTCGCAAAAATTCAATAATGTTGAATATTTTTTTAAAAATTCTCGTCAAAATTTCAATTATTTTTATAAATAATAAAATTCTTCTCTGAAATTCAATTATTTTCAAAAATTTTATTAAATTCAATGATTTTCCATACGTATATACTATTTTATTAAAATATTCCAAAAGAATTTAATTATTTAAAAAAATGTTGATAAAATTCTATTCAAACATTCTATTATTTTCATAGATAATAAAAATTTCACAGAAATTCAATTATTTACAAAATTTTTTATAAATTTCTTCGCAATAATTCATATTTTCATAAATAATGAAACTCATCGAAGAATTTCAATTATTTTTTATACAATTTTAATCAAATAATTCAATTTTAAGAAAAAATTATTGTTTCATGAAAAATTCTGGAAAAATTAAAAAAGAAACAATTCTTTATTCAATAAATTATTTATTTTTGTATTTAAATAATTGAATTTTCGTATAGAATTTTCTAATAAAAATTGATTTGAAAATGAATTTCAGTTAACATTTTAGATAATAATTGAATATTAAAAGCATTATAGTGTGAATTTTTTTTTTAGAAATAATTAAATGATTAATAATTTTGAAAAGGTTTCAAATTAAAATTTTTAAAAATTTCATCAGATAATAATTTGTAATTTATCAACAAAAGATAAAATGACACTTTGTATATATCTGTAGGTTCGTTAGTTTTCTGAAAGATGTCGTTAGTCGTTAAATTTCTCATATTTTTTTAAAAATAATTTTTATAATAATTCGATTAATTTTAAAAAATCATTTTCTTTTTTAATTAATTATTTCAATTATTTGCAATTTTTTGCAATAAAATATTTATATTAAAAAAAAAATTAAATTTATATTATTATTTATTCAGTTATTAATTTAATTAATGAGAATCCGATACCTTAATTATTAATAATTTTATTTTATTTTGACATTTTCTAAATTTTGTAATTGATAATCCTGTAATTATTGGTCTATGAGACTTTTGGATTTATTTGAATAAAATAAAATAAATATTCATTATTATAATTAATATAATTAGATCTTGATAGTGTAACATAATTCGTTGATTATTTATTTTTAATTTTTATAAATTAAAAAATATTTTTTTAATTATTATTTTGGTAATGTAAAATAAATTCAATGCTCTAAGATTAAATTTTTGGAAGCGAATAAAAATTAGAATTTTGTTTAGAAAAATTTAAAAAATTATTAATAATAACAATTATGATAATAATCATAATAATACTAATAGCAAAGATAATAATAACAATAAAAATAATTATAATAGTAAAAGTAATAGATATTTTTGACGAAAGTATTGTATACAACAATTAAAAATAAATTTTCTTCTGAGATAAATTTTCAATAAATTAAAATCGTAAATAAAATTATACAATATTTTTTTTAAAGAACAAAAATTTTTACACTGCATTTACGAATAATTTAATATAATTAAATATTATAATTATAATAATTACATTATCAGGTTTTTTTTTCTCAAGATATACATATATATAGAAAAAACTTTTGTTATTTGTGGTACTTATCAGGAATGTAGGATTAATAATGTGTAAAATTTGTTAAAAAAAATTCTTTTTTTTTAAAATTTTTTTTCTCTTCTTTTTTTTTTGTTTAATGTAAACACTAAGACTCTCTTATCAAAGGTCTTTTCGTTCAGAGAATTTCGAAAGATTCATTTTTACGTTGATAGTAAAGCTTAGGTAAACTTAACTTCGGCGAAACGCGACGACGACGACAACGACTTTTGATATCAATAAGTCAAGCTTTGTTTCTTGCCTAGATAATTATAAGCTGAGAATGTATTATCATTTTTTTTTAAAAAAGTTTTTTTAAAGTTAATAATATATTTCTTAATAATATAATAATAATAATTTTTAATAATCATAATAATAATAATAATTTTTTATTATTATATCTATTAAATTTATTTAATTAAAAAAGTTGTTCAATTTGTGACACTAAAAGCTACTATTTACTATGTTTAAAAATTCCTTACATAAATTTTTCGAAATTCAATATTTTCAATATCTACTATTTTAATCAAAAAATTTCCCAAAAGAATTCAATTATTTAAAAAAAATTTGTAAAATTCTTTGAAAACATTCAATTATTTTCATAAAATTTTCATGAAATAATAAAATTTTCACAGAAATTCAATTGTTTAAAACACAATTTTAACAAAAATCAAATACTTAAAATGATTTTTATAAAATTCTTCGCAAGAATTTAATTATTTTCAAAATTAATAAAATTTTTCGCAAAAATTCAATTATTTTTATAAATAATAAAATTTAAATAACTATTTTCAATACCTACATTTTTAATAAAATTTCTTGAAAGAATTTTAATTATTTTAAAAAATTTTAATAAAATTCTTCGTAACAATTCAGTTATTATTTTTAAAAATTTTTAATAAAATTCTTAGAAATTTAATGAATTTTAAAAGTTGAAACTCAATTATTTTCAATATTTATACTATTTCCATAAAATTTCACAAAATTCTTCAGAGAAATTCAATTATTTTTAATACAATTTGAATAAAATTTCTTGACACAATTCACTTATATTTTTAAAACTTTTGTGATAAACTCTTTAGAAGAATTCAATTATTTTCAGTAAAATTTTAATTAAATTCGTCGTACGAACTTAAAATTTCCTCGAAATAATTGAATTTGAATTTTTATAAATTTTATTTTTAACCATTATTTTCATAAATAATATTTTTACAGGAATTCAATTATTTAATTAATTAATTTCATAAAAAAAAATGCTCCACGAGAATTCAATTTTTTTTAAAAAATTTTCAAATAAAATTCTTTACAAATATTCAATTATTTTCATAAATAATAAAATTTTCACAGGAATTCAATTATTTAAAACACAATTTTCATAAAATTTCCCTAAAAAAAATTAAAATTATGTAGTTAAAAAGATTTTTTATAAAATTCTTCGTAAAAATTCAATTATTTTCAATACAATTTGAATAAAATTTCTTGATGGAATTGAATTATTTTTCAAAAGTTTATCAAAATTTGTTGATTGAATTCATTTATATTTTCAAAAATTGGTTTTGTTTTATTTATCATTTTCATAAATAATAAAGTTTTTACTGGAATTCAATTATTTTTTTAACTTAATTTAATTTCAATTATTTTTAATACAGTTTTAAATGAATTTTTCGAAAAATGCAATTACATATTCCTGAAAATTTTATTAAAGTTCTTTGAAAGAATTGAATTATTTTAAAAAAATGTTGATAAAGTTCTTTATAAGAATTCAAACTTAAGAAATATTCAATTATTCAATAAATTATTTATTTTTCTATTTAAATAATTGAATTTCGCAGTTAAAATTTTTGATAATAATTGAATATTAGAAGCGTTATTTATAGTGAGAATTTTTTTAGAAATAATTGAATTTTGAAAAGGTTTTTGAATTGAAATCTTTGAAAATTTTAATATTAAAAATTTCTATTTTGAAATAAAATGATTAAAAATAATAGATTTTAAAAGTACAAAATGATTAAAGTTTTGAGTATTTTTATTTAAAAATTTCAATAAAAAAAAAATGATTGAATTTTTGAAGAATTACAGTTGTGTAATTTTTAGAAATAGTAAATTTCAAAAAGGCTTTAAAATTGAAATCATTAAAAATATTTTAACTCTTGTGGAAAAATAAATAATTATTAAAATATTTGTTTAAAAAGAATTATTCTATTTTTGAATGTAATTTAATTTAGAAATTATGAAAAAATTGAATCGTCAATTTTTAAAAATTAATTATCGAGTACGAAGTCTGTAAAAATAATAATAAAATCGTTTGCTTTTATCGAATTATAAAATTTTTTATTTAAAAAAAATTATTATTACGTCAGTCAATTTTTAAAAATTGAATTAAAATAATATTAATTTTAAGAAATAAACAGAATAACAAAGTGTAGATGAAAATAAGAAAACAAAAAATAACTGTGAAAATAAAAAGTTGAAGTGAAGAATCTCGGAGGGCGGGAGGAATAAAATTGAGAGAAATGGGAAAAAAACTGGAGGTGCGGTTCATAATGTTGGCAGAGAGAATTCGAAGTGGTGACGCTTCCTGGGGATGAAAAGGTGGGTTTTTGGGGTGGACGAGTGCGAGTCGGGGTTGGACATCGATCTGGTAGTTAACTCAAGGGCTCCCTTGGGACTCGTTGCCACCTTCGTCTCTTCGTCCCTCTCTCTCTCCAGTTACAATATAGTTATCCTATTTATCTCACGAATTCCAGTGTCATGACTTATTGCAACATTTAACCTCTATACATGCACACCCAGAGAAATATTATTTTTATTAATTTTTTTCCTATTTAAAAAAAAAATCCGTTGACATTGTTTAGGAATTTATTGTCATGGCTTTCGAAATTCGTGACTTAATAATGAGTTAAAAATTTTTTATTTTATTAATATTACTGACAATATATAATACATAATAATAATTAATAATTTTACTGTTATTATTATTTTTATTACTATTAATTTTTTTCGTAACTATTATCGTTATTTTTATTATTACCATATTATAATTATTATTAATATTATTACTATTGTGATGCTGAAAAATTAAAATTAATTTTACAAGTCACAATTTTTTTAATATTAATGATAATTATATTTTTGAATTTGAATAATTTGTTTAATTTTCTATTAATTTTATTTAAATTCTGAGATTGGAATGGATATTCCAAGATTAATTTATTATAATTAGATTTTAAGTAAATTAATTTTGATTTTGGGTAATTAGTTTTTCAGTCTTTATTGCTAACAACCTCCCCTCTCTAACGTTTAGTTTTTTGAGTAGCCGAGTAACTTTAAAGTCGTTGCATATTTTTCTTTATTTTTATAATTTTCTTTTGTAATTTGACTCAGTCTGGCGACCAACAATAATTTGTGATTTAATTTCCTTTATTTTTGCAACGCCAGTGTAACCTTTAATTTAATTATTATTATTAATTATTCGTTTGATCTTTTTTTGCAAGTGAAACATAACCTCTAAATTTTTGCAGCTAAAAATACAAAATACACCCATATTAAGTAAGTCTAAAATTTGTCCCCGAAATACTTACTATAAACGATATTTTTATCTCTGCTTTTTTTTACCGTTGATTTTTTTTTGCAACAAGAAACAATTTTGACTTTTCTCCAAACGTTTCTTTGCTTCCTGCTGCCGCACTTCTGGAGAGTTGGAGACTTGCGATCGTCTTCTCCCGCGTTCCGCATATTTCGTCTGTCATGCAGGGATGGGAACGCAATATTTCGCAGATAAAGGCCAGAGTACAAAATAAACGTAACCGAAATCGTAAATACGGTAGAATGAGTTAGAGAAGGATAAATATATTGTTTATCCTTCTCTAACTCATTCTTCCGTAAATGAATCGTTTTCGCAAGGTTGTGTAGTTGCAAATAAGTTGAAATTCATCTAACAGGGCTGATGGGCAGTTGCGCTTTTTAAGAAAGTTGTAAAAATGCGTACCTAACCCTGCGCGTCAGTGAAATATTTATTACTCAACCTACTCAACCCTGCACGTCAGTGACAAAAACGTTTTTCTTCTGAATAAAATATTTCTAATAAAAACTCTTTATTTCTATATCGAATCACAGGTAAATTATCACACTTTTATTGAAATTTCGAAAGCGTTTAAGTTTCTATATATTTTTAGTAATTCTTGAAAGTATTAAGAATATAGTTTACATTTACTTTAAGAAAGTAAAAAATAGATTTAGGATGCGTATTTTCAATAACGTTTATTATCCCCCTACCTCCCCCCTCGAGAAAAAGAAAATCACATACGAGAATCAAATTTTGAGTATCTATAGAATTTTTCCGTCTTTTTTTTGGTCAGTGATTTCTCGTCGCACTATATATATTATATTTCTGTTTTATTACACACAGTTTTCATCCCAAGATTAGACCCTTTAGAAGCTTTGATTCTATTCCTCGATTCTGTAGGCGCGCACTTTATAGCCCCCGCAATAAAAGTATCTATTTGGTGTGCTTTTTATTTTTCTATTTCCGAGTTCTGGTTTTTGAAATTCGAAACTGACCATCAGGAATAATAAATATATGAGAAAAAGATGAAGAAGAAGAAAAAAAAGAATACAAATATGAAATTCTAAAGGATTTCTCCGCAAGTATAAAATATATGTGTGTGTGTGAGTATAATAATGAATCTACGATTTTTGTTGAAAATCGTGGTGGCTGGTTCCAATTATGATCCAGGTGCCGAATAACGTATCCTTTCAATTCTTTTTCTTCTTCTTTCTTTTTCATCTTTAAGAAAATTTCTTTTCTTCTTTGCAACTTTTATTTATTTATTATCAATCGAAAGTATTTCTTTTTCGAAATTTATAGTTTTCGTCATAGGATATAACCTAAAAATAAAACTATTTTCTCTATAATTTCAAAAATTTCATTTTTATTCCGAGGTTTCAAAAAGTAACCTTTGCTCTCTAATTTTTATTTTCATTCAGATTATGAAATTTAAAGTCTGATGTTATTTACATTATTTTATTTACTTTTTAAAACTTTGTTATTTAGTTCCAAAGCAAAATTTTTTTTTTCAGTGACCGAATTATAAATATTGCCCATTTTTTTTGTAATTTTCCATTTTTCTGCAAAAAAGTTATTTACATTTAAAAATCATGAAAATATGCAAAGTACCAATTTTAATTGCTTGTTCTTTCACATTTATGAAGAAAAAAGAAAAAAATTAATAAAAGAAAAACTGAATGTTTATCACAGGTATACCCTATATTTGGTATAAGGTTTTATTCAATTTAATTTTGAATAAAAATTTTAAACTCCTTAAACTCAATCGCGGCCCATATCTCGAGATTTTTAGGACAAATTTTCTGTATATTATCAGGTATAAATAAATAAAGAAAAAATTAATCATATCAAAATTTAAAACATAATTTTTGTTAATTAAAATACTTTAAAAGTTATAAGCTATACTCAAAATAGGTCTAATACTTTTAAAAATCCTAAATTTCGAAAATTCATAACTCTTAAATTTGGGCAATTATTCAAAAATAAAAAAAAACGTATTTAATATTTTTCTATAAAGAACGATAAAAAAAATATGTTTAACCGTTTTAAAATGTCATAGGAAAATTTCACGTGGAATTGCCCATATTCGAATTGAATTGCTGTACTTAAATCAACTTTTAAATTTCTTATTTTTTAAATTATACTAAATTTATTTCAGTAAAAAACAATAACTAAAAATTATTTTTTGATCTATAAAGATTAAATCGCAAGTAAATAAAAATAAATTAATATAAAATAAATAAAACAATTATATATATTATAATTAAAAATTTGTTTGCTCTTTAAAATAATGAATCGCAAGTAAATATATAAATGAATAGAAAAGAATTTATTTTCTTCTAATATATATTTTTATTTATATAGGTATATTTATTAATATATTTAATTAAATTTATTATTTTTTAATATTTAAAAAGAAAGTAGGTAAAAGATTTAAAAAATTCTCTATAAAATTATTTTCCAATTTTTGACATTTTTTATTTCAAAAACAATAGAGACAAAGGAAATATGCGTGTACATTGAAAAAATTAAATTAAACAATTACATTGTATATTTTGACTGTTTTGTAATGTCAAGAAATCTCTAATATCCTTTATATATATTTGACATATTTTCCATATTTGTAGGTGCTTTTTATTTTATTTTCGTAAAAATTAATTAATTTTTATTTTAAAAAAATATTTCGGTGACGCATTGCAATAATACTTTAATATACACAGTTTTAAAAATAATAACATGTTACAACCGCAGTAATAATAATAATAATAATAATAATAATAATAATAAAAATAATGATAATAATAAAAATAATAATAAAAATAATAATCATAATTACGTATTATACAATTTTTAATAAAAATTTTGTCTGAATAAATTTTATATTTTAATGCAACAAATATTTTTATAAAAAATTGTAACAGAACTAAATAAAAAAAATTTTTATTTTTAATTATTAATTATTTTTTTTTATTATTATTTAAAAGAGAAATAAACTTTTTTATTTTTTATAGTGCAAAGTATGAATAAAAATATTTTTAACTGTTATTATTGTTATTAAAATTATAATTATTATTATTGCTATAAAAAATCACTTGCTTCGAAATACAACGAATATAATATACAAATATATAAGTTGAAAAAAAATAATACAAAAATTCAAGGAGCATAGAAACAATAATATTACTGTCGAGAATCACAAACATTAACTATATATATATACAATATAAAATAATAATAATAAACTAAAATAAAATATCTTAATGTCTGATAAACAAAAATTTAGCTGCCGAGAAAAGAGGGGAAATTTTTTTTCTTCAATTTCCAAATTTATGATAATATTATGGCAATTTTTATTATATATATATAATTTATATCAAAAATTTAAATTATCAAAATCACAATTATTCCTGTTTTTTAGGAAAAAAAAAATTAATAAATAAATGCACCGAACAATTATAATTATATAGTAATTATTATTATACTCATAAAAACGAGAATCGAATTTATAGAATATAATAATAATTATATTTACAATGATATAATAATAATAAATTTAGTATTTTTATATTATTATATTATTTATAATTATATAATATATATTTTTTTATTTAAATTAATTTATAAATAATTTTTCAATTCATGAAATCAAAAATCTGAACTTCTTTCCAAATTGAATTTTTTCAAAATAAATTTTTTTTTTGCTTTTCAAATTATAAATTGATTTTAAATTAATCTTTTTTTCAAATTAATTTTCTATTTTAAATTAAATTTCTCTATATTATTGTAAATGAAAAATATGTTTTTTTTGTACTGAATTAAAAAAAAGGTTTGAATTTAATTTAAACAAAAAAATTTTTTTATTTCTATTAAACTATATTATAATATATATATATATATATGTACACTTGTACAATTTTTTTTTTTTTGAGAAAAAAAAATTTTGCATTACACTCCTTTTCGGCTACACAGTAAATAAACGATTATGTTTTTCTATAAGGAAATTTTAATAATTCTTAATATAATAAATAAAGAGATACATTATATTTGTTTTAACTAAATAAAAAGATACTATATTAATATATTTACAATATATTTCAAATTAAATGCGCGCACATTAATCGCAGTAATTTTTCACTTCTCTTATGTTTTATATTTACAATAGTATATTTATATACTCGAATTGAAAGAATTCTACTTACAATTTATATTAATGAATAAGGCTTGCGAAGAGATTTTTGTATATGAATATATGTATATAAATATATATATAGATATTTATTTATATTCATATATTTATATATAATATTTATGGTATATAATATATAATTTATATAGCATACATAGCATATAATATTATATGTTATATATGATATATATTATATTTAATATACATAGTATCTAATCTATATATAATATATAGCATATATAATATATAATATACAATTTATATAGAATATATAGTATACAATTTATATAATTATATAGTATATATAATATATAATTTATATAGTATATATATTATATAATACATATGGTATATAGCAATTTTTTTTCACTAATTACGAGTATAATTTTGCGTGATGATGTGGTTGCAGTCCATTGGCACCGAGCGCTAATGGATGAGCGGCCAATGGTGGCGAGCCTCCATTTTGAATAAAGTTGCCGAGCATACTGCTCATTCCGGCAAATCCAAGACTCGCCATACTTCCGGCGAGTTGTTCCGTCGTTGGCTTTATGTCCTTTTGCTCTTGTTCCTCACGTTTCTTCGATTGCTTACGCTCTTTTGCCCTTCGGTTTTGAAACCAAATTTTAACCTGTAAGAACAAAAAAACAAATATTTTTATTTTGTGTACTAATATAATTTTCTTTTTTATAGGTTAGGTGACTGCGTTAGCCATTCAAGAAAGTCATCGGGTGTTAAAAATAATCCCGATTAGACAAATTTAATTCTGGCTAATTCGCAACGGCGAAAAAGGTGTTTTTAATAAAGATAAATCGTAATAAAATTCTGAAAAGAGTATAAAACTCAACGTCTCGTCTTGGAATGCAGTGAATGTAAGTTTTTAAAGAATGCTTTTTCTATATATCATTTTTTAGTTTTTAAGTCAAAATCATTCCTTAGCAATAATTTTAAATCGATAAATACTTTTTGACTAAAATAAACTCGTTTGTAATTTTTATTGAAGACTAAATTAAGCGTAATTAATTAATTTAATTTATTGAATCTTGAATTTCGGAATAAAGGGCTCAACACCGCAAGAGTCATTTTCACTATCAATATAGTTATGGGAAAATGAGATTTACGCTTTCTCAAGTTAAACCCTTTTCGAAATTCACGATTCAATTATAACAAATTAATTTATTAATTGTAAGTAATAATTTAATAACTTCAATTAACTGTAATTATTATCAATTTATCAATTATAATTAATTTTAATTATTCATTATAATTAATATTAAGGGCCAGTTTTACCAACTCTGATTAAAAATTAATCAATGATTAAAGCCAATTTAAACCGCTCATATGATTGATCGGTTAAGGATTTAATCATTGATTAACTTTTAATTCGTGTTGGTGATGCTGACCCTAATTGTAATGAAGTATTTTTAATTAAATTAATTAATTTCACAATTGGTTAATTCTATATGTGAAAAAAACGATTAAATTAAAATTTAATTATCAATTAGAAAACATAAAAATATTTTGTTAAATAAAAATACAAAACGGACAAATATAGAGATGGTCTTAAAATTTTTAATAGACGTGCGGGAGAACATTATATTAAGAAATAAAAATCTACAAAATTTTGAAGACGAGTCTCGCGCGAAGAAATATAAAAATACCGCAATTTTGACGTTCGTTTTATTTTTTCTAATAAAAAAGGTTAGAAATTAATTTTTCTTTCAAATAAAAATGATGCCATATGATAGTTATATCTTTGTTTGTGCGTCACATTTAAATATATACAAAAGTGTTCAAACGAGTCTTTTTTCAAATAAAATTTTTGATGTTTGCTTCTCAGAATGCCATTTTAGAGCATTATGATTTTGTTACTATTATTATTATTATCATCATCAGAGAATGACTTCGATATATATTAATATGGCAGCATTCCTTAATTTATGACGACGTTAATTGATCCGGAGTGAAGAATATATATATATATATATATCTATTTTTTTTATTCTTTTCAAAAGTGACATACCTGTCGTTCTGAGAGGGCAAGATTGGCTGCGAGTTCCGCTTTACGACGAATCGTGATGTAACGACTGTAATGAAATTCCTTTTCCAGTTCTAGTCTTTGATGATCCGTGTAGACTACTCTGTATTTGTCCTTTGTTCTTGTTTTGCCTGTAAAAGCAGAAAATATTTTTTGTTAATTTTTTTTTTATTATTTTTTAAGAGCAATAAGAAATTATATACATATATAAATATCGAATGGCATGTTTTCTTTCTAATTAAGCGAAAATAATTTTTTTAAATATATAAATAATAATTAAAAGTTTGGATTAAGAAAATTTGAGTTTAGATGTAATTTAATAATCTTTTAAATAATTTAAATTTAAAATAATTATAGTTACAAATATGTATTTATTAATTTATTTTTAAATTATTAAAAACTTATTTAAATTATTGTTTATTTATAACAAAAAAAGTGATGAAGTTTAAAACAACAAAAAAGTTTCTTGATATTTTTTTATGAGTATAGGTGAAATTAAGAGGGAAAATTTTTTTTTGAGAGCCATGCATCACATATATATACGATAAGATGGTATATATTATCATAAAATATATACGCAAAAAAAGAAAACACACGCGACTTCGTGTCACAATTTTTTTATCTCGGTCAGGCGCGCTAATTAAACTCACGATAAGCATATATATTCTCAGAGCATGTAAAAACTTGTCAGGTGTATATATATAGTCAAACGAAAATTCACACAAAGTTGAGAGGGAAAAAAAGTAGAATTAAGACTAATGGAAAAAATTAACAATCGTTAAAAAAGGGCACATGTGATCCAATGGGAATTAAAAAAAAACTATTATTTTTTAATATAGAAATACAATTTTAAAATAAAATTTCAATTTCATTTAAAAGAATGTTATAGTTTTTAAAAAGTTAATTTTAATTTAGTAATAAAAATATAATAATAATAAAACAAAAGTTTAAGTTTTCCACAAACAAAAAATGTTTTCAAATAAAAATACTGTCTTTAAGAAAACAAAAAAAAATCCTACTTCGGTAGTATCAATAATAATTAAATGAAATATTAGTCACTCCCTAAAAAGTCAGGTGATAAAAAACGACCTTTTAAACGTCGGAAGAAATTTAAAAAGCGGCAAATTTTAATTTCTTAATCGGGTTTACGACGTCCCATTATACACCACATGAGGACACAGAAACTAAAAGGAGCGCATTATCTCGATAGACTTAAAATTAAGTAATTTTCAAGAGGGACAAATAGAGACCTAATGGAAGGGATATATAGATAAGAGAGGGGGGAGGCCAAAGTGGGGGAATACAAAATAAAACCAGAAAAATTGAAAAGACATTAAATAAAGCATCAGCAGCTGTACGGTTGAAAAAAAGAGAGAAAGAAAAAAAATATAAAATAAAGAGGGGAAAGGTGTGCGATTAGATAAGAATGGGCGGTAGAGATCAAAGCTAAAGACGCTAATCCACCACTCTTTGATAATACACATATACCAAGTCGGAGAAGAGACCTTCAGAAAAATTTCATATGAAAGCAAAATCATCCTCGCATATATATGTATATATATATTTACCACTACTACTACTACTACTTTGAAAGATTTCTGAAATTATATTATCGCACCTATACATTTATAGTCAATCTTTTATATATCATTTTAATTTCCAAAATTTTAAAACATACATTAAAACAAACAAAAAACAAGTCAATGTTTCCTGGAAACAAAATTTTGACGACATTTTTTCTATTGAGTCATTTATGTATATAGACATTAGGGAAGAAATTAAATTTCATTTTGATGATTCAATTTGTATCAAAAAACAAATTTTAATCCGATTCGCAGAAAAGTCGTTTCTTTGAGATAACGGTTTCATCTTTATTTTTTCTATTTCCGTTTTATATATTCTAACTTTGTCGCTAAGGTCGATTTTCACGGGGCGAGTTTTGCGAATTTCACCCCTAGCGACAAGGTGAGTTTGTTTCGTACGTATTATAATACTGAAATTAATAATAATTACTATTATAATTATAATACTTTATTTAATCGATAATTTATTAATATAGGGTAGTTAAAAACATTACTTTTAATAATTATTATTATATTAATATAATAATTATAATGAATACACTAATATAATAATTATAATTATAACAATTGAATATGATATAAAAATGATAATAAAATAGTAACAATATAAAATATTAAGGTATATATACATATGTATAAGGTCAATTTTAATTGAGTGCGATAATTCTACGAGAAAAAATCTCCTATAATAAGTTACACAGAATCATTCCCTGGTGGTGTGTATAGAGAAAAATGGGATGAAATTTGATATGCTGTCGCAATAAAGGCGCGAGTATTATATGGAAAGTATATTTCAGATACAAATGTGAGAGTTGGCACAATAGGGGTAATTGTCATGTCACTGACAAATATATAATAATATATATATACACAAGAACAAACGAGAAATGAAGCAAGTGCAAAATTAAGAGGGGGGAGGGGGACCAAAAAAAGAGGGGGGGATATGAAAATAGGACACGCGCGTTTTTGCCATCGGCCGACGACGACGGTAGTCGACATCAAATAAAAGAGCAAACGGTGTAATGGGGTGGCAACGAGTCCCCCGAGTCCCGTTTTCTTCTCGCCTCATCCCTTTATATATATATATATATATATGTATTGTTCCCCGCCAACATATCACGAGACAGCGAGTCTCAATTTTATCTTCACATCTTCCTTTCATTTAACATTCATAATCTGACAAACTTTACATTTATTTTTACATATTATTATTATTACAATTGACATGCCTCTGATAATAGTGTATATTTACATATTATTTATCAGATAAAAGTTTATTCTTACTTTAGCGAGATTTTTATAATATTTTAACCCCCCCCCCCCCCGCTCATATTTAAAATTTTGAATTTGTGAATTTTTTAATTATATTCTTTTTCTTTTCTCTTTAAAAAAAATATTCAATACCGTGACTAATTCGAAGAAAAATTTTTTAAATATTTTTTTTTTAAAAATTCTATGCTTTTTAAAACAAGATCCTTAATGTATATATTTTAAGGACCTTATGTTGTACAGTATAATAAAGTTGTGAACCATAATAAAGATGCATCTTGCCGAATGGCGGAGAACATCAAAGGATTTTCGAAAAAAAGGGAAAGGGAAAAATTCCTTTAAAAATAAAGCACGCATCCCTTTCTGTTGTAAACTATTTTTAATATTAAAAAATATAAATATATCACTGACGCTTTTTTAAAGAATTTTTTTTGAAAATTAACATTATAACTTTTAACATTGTTATATGTTAAAAAATTAGAAAAAAAATTTAAAATTGCAGGCCAAATAAGACAGATGTAACCTTAAAATTTAGGTCAAGAGAAGCATTCAACCACTACGCACTTTATTATAATTTAGGTCAAGAGGAAAAGATAACCTTAAAATTTTATTAAAAAGCCATTATAAAAATTATTACCATCATGATGATTGTAATGATAAACCTTTAAACAAGAAACGAAAAAGATCCTTAAATTTTTAGGTTAAAGTTAATATTGAAGGATAACAGCGATTAAAATTTTAAACATTCAAGCAAAAATTATTTCAGAATAAAGTTCCAAATATGAACATAACCTCTAAAAAATTCAGGTCTAACTCTTAGGACATTAGAATCTTAAAAATTAGTAAAAATTCCTTGACTTCTACTGAAAAAAATTTTGTTTTACTGACAATGTGGCCTCCCAAGCACTAACGTTTTTCGTTTAGTGATTTTAATATATACGAAAATATATATGAGTATACGTGCGTGTATTACAATCGCTTCATTGAATAATATATACACATGTATATGTATAAAATTTGTACACGATCTATATTCATGACAACTGACTTGATATAATGACGATGCGGGTGTTGAGATTCGATATCAGACAGATGAAAAAGGCCGCAACTTGGACGATAATCCTTAAGTTGACATATGTCTACATATGTATATATTGTATATATATACATGTATCGTTTTGCTCGATTGTCAACAAAAAGTTGAAGCATTGAAATAAACTTATCATTCCTCTTCAAACACCTATACCTTTTTTTTATTACACATATAGGGAAAAATCTATTCTAATTTTTTTTCTCTCGAAGCGATTACGTTTTCCTAAAATTATATTTTTTACATAGCACCTGGAAATAAGATTCTTATCATGCGTTCAAAAATATACTTTCAGTCTACTTGACAGTCTACTTTTTCAGTCGTTTATAAACGACTTTAGTCAAAATAAGTAGACTGAAAGTTATATTTTTTTATACCTTTAGAGTATGATTTTAGGTTCTAAGTTAGGGGTCGTCCATAAACTAGCTACGTTACCAATTTTTAATACTTGTTGGACCCCCTCCCCCCTCGTATGAGTTTTTATAGATTTTTGGACCTCCCTTACCCTTAAATTGGTAACGTTTAAGGATGACGGATGACCCCTTATGACTTATTAGATTTAAAACTCTTGGACCATTTACATCGAAAAATAAAAATATGGTTTGCCTTATTTTTATTTTAAGATGTAAACGGTTGCAGCCTGTTAAAAAAGCGGATAATTGGAAACATAAGACATCCTTTAGAATAAATAAAAAGAGCATCCGAAGTACATCGAAAAATCCAGAAGTATAACTCAGATATAATTTTTAAAGTGAAAAAAAGAAAAGAAAAATAGTGTGAGAAGAATATTTTGCAGCCTGAAAATATTATGAACAATGAAGCGTGCAATCGGAGGCTACTTTGAACATTTATGGCGGCTAGCCAAGGGCGGTCAAGAAACTTTATTGGAGAGCTTAAGCTCTGCTGGGCCGACTTGAAGCGTTCCACCTTATTCAGACAAAATAATTGTACAACAACAACAAGGAAAGCGACGATGAAGACGAAGACGAAGACACGACGACCTACACAGAGGGACTCACACATCTCTATTGCTTACAAATACTAACATAGAAGCTATATAGACCCATCGAATGAAGACCCAAGGGATTTTTGGAGTGTGTGTACACAAGAAGAAAAAAAAATCTATACAAAAAAAAAATCTAAAATCGTTTCAAAACACACGCACCTGTATATAAGAGAACATTTGAAA